TATATATATATATATTGATTATTATAACTATTATTAATAATAGTTATTAAATAATTAAGAAGGAAGATTGTTCACCTGAAAAAAAATCTGTATCTTGAAGTTGTTATAAACCCATTGAACTTTTGTCATCTGTAATAGAATAATACAACAATAGGCATTTATTAAAAAGAACAGATATGTATTAATTATAACTACTATTAATAATAATTATTGATTAATAATTATAAAGGATTGTTTATGCCCCCCCCCAAAAAAAAAAGTTCCAAACCTTTTCTTTCCTCTGTGACAGAATAATGAATTAATAGATATTTATATTTATACAAAAAATACATATGCGTTAGTTATTATAATGATTAATAATAATAATAATAATAATAATTTAAAGTTAATCGTTTAAAAGGATACTTCACTCGAAAAAAAAATATTTTGAAAGTCATTCCAAATGTGACTTTCTGTTTTGTGACAGAATGATGAATTAATAGACATTTATATTTATTACAAATATTTATTAATGAGTATAATGTAAACAAACAAATAAACAGCTAAATAAATAAACAAACAAACTATACATATTTCACCTGAATTTTTTTTTTAAAGTCGTTCTAACAACATTATGAAATAACACTTATATTTATTAAAAGGAACATATATTTATTAGTTATTATAACTTTGATTAATTAACAGTTAACTAGTATTAATTAATTTTAAAAAGTGTTAAGGTGTGGTGAGTACTGGGCTGTGTCCGAAATAGCCCCCTATACCCTCATTCACGATTCCCTACATTAGGTCACTAATTCAGTTCACTAGAAGGAGTGAATGAAAACGAGTGAGTGAATTCGAACACTGAGTGCACCGGAAGGAATGGCGCTTTTGCATAGTTTGTGCTTGCTGTTTATTAATCATTTGAAACTAGCAAACTAGCAGCTCCAGTAGTAAGATTAAAGTTAATCGTGATTAATCGCATCCAAAATAAAAGTTTTTGTTTACATAATATATGTGTGTACTGTGTATATTTATTACCGGTATGTATATATAAATACACACACATGCATGTATGTATTTCAGAAAAATATGTTATGTTTATATATTAAATATATAATATAAATTATATTAATATAAATATAGACATATAAATACATGTACATATTTTCAAAATATATACTGTATATATGTGTTTACTAATGTTAACTAATGAAACCTTATTGTAAACTGTTGAGCGCTTTGTAAAAATGAACGGATTAATTATTCAGCTGCGGGCGCCATCTTCTGGCGAGATGCGGGAATTCATTCGGCGCGTGACTCTCACGGTGCATTATGGGCATTCTCTAGCCGTTGAGCGTGCGCCACATAGACATAATAAATACCTATGGTGCGCCAGTTGTACACTCGTTTTTGCAGTGCATTGTGGGATTGAATGAGTGCACTCGAGAACGTCCACTATGGTTTCGGACACCACTAAAAATGGCTGTTCCCTCAAATAGTGCCCTATTTAAGGGTATAGGGGGCGATTTCGGACATAGCCCTGGAGTAGATTTGGAGCTATCAGAGTACGTTATCAGCACACAGAAGCTCTCGTGTGTCACGTGACGGTGACGTCAGTCGCGCTGCGTTACTGTGCGCCACTGATGCAGGGGGATCCATCATGGCGTCGATGCAGGTAAGATCACAGCTGACATCTAGCTCTGTTTAATCTATCAGTCACTCCTTGATCAGGTGTCGAGTGGGTCGTCTCTGATAGTGTAAATGGTGTTTTTTTTTTTTGGATACGCCTAATTAAGGGATCGAACATTGCTGTGTTATTTCTGAAATCATAACTTGTCCTCCTCGCTGCTCGTGAACTGTCAGGGTGAGAATGATCGGTGCTTTAAAAGCAACAGCTGGCGAGCAGGACTCACATAAACTACTGATTTACCGCAAACACAGGCAACGGAATGAGCAGAATTAACGTGTTATTACTAGAAGTATCACGAGTTTGCTATGTGAATAGCTTGAAATCATGATACCAGCATGTTTACTTATTTTTATCCAGCTTTGCAAGGTTATTTGTGACATTTGATAGGAAATGTGAAGTTAATTGACTGAATATATAAGTCACTGTTTTGTGTTGAATAAGATTATTAGAAATGACAAAATATAGGCTATACTTGTTGCCACACAGCTCTTAGTAGTATAAATATTCAAATGAATAATAGTCAGAGAATGTATATAGATTTAAATATGTAAGTAATAACGGTATTTTGAATACTGTACTGAATTTCAATTCTTGGATGTATCTCATACGACTTAAATTTGAAGTGATTTAAAAGTACTAATTCTGATTTATAATCGTGCTATATTCTTTACATTAAGTGGTTTTCTATTTTTTTAAATGCCAAGTACCCCACATCCTCTTATCCTCTGAATATTACTTAAGATATTAAGATGAGACTGTGT